AGTGTGCTTGGTAATTACCAGAGTTAATTTCAACAAAATATTGGGTGTTTTAGTGTGCAGTGGAAATTGAATTTATGTAGTATATAAATCATCAAAAGAGACTTTGATAATATTTACATTCTTAATTTGCTTTTCTTATTTGGTATTTCCAACCTTTATTTTATAATATTTGTGTGACATTCTTGTAGAAGAGATCTTAACAATATGTATGCTTGAAAGTTTAAGTTACAAAAGATAGTTATAAATTAGTCCTATAAATTTTAACTCAAGCAAGTTGTGTGCTATGTTGCTTATTTTTGCATCTTTTTATGAACTTCAATGAATTGTAATATACCCCAAGGACTAATTTACTATTCTATTTTGTTTATATAATCAAATTAAATTCAATGTATCTTATATATTTCACTATAATATAAATGTTTGATCATATGATCAATGCTAAAATTAAATTAAGATGAAATAATGAGACAAGAATTAGAGCTTTTTTTTATATATGGTTTGGTTTGGTTTGGTTTGGTTTGGTCAATGATATTAATTTGATTCAAATTTTTTTATTGATCACTAAATCTATAGAGGTTTTCTACTACCTACTACCATTGGCTTTTCATGCATTCAATTTTTAATAATTGTTGAATTTATTATGATGGTTTGCTATATTTCATTTTCAACCATTATTATAGGCATCATGATGAGTCATAACTATTATAAATTTAAATTTAAAAAACAATATGAAAAAAAAAATCATTTTGGTAGATGTAAAGTAGGGTGTATATAGGGTTTAGGGTTTAGGATTATCACTAAATATTTTGCATGATTTGATTCAAATTGTATATTCAATTAGGCTATATAACTATTGATCATGGTATATAATTAAGGTCATTGTCAAGATTATAAATGCATAGCTTTTATTAGTCTTAGCATCATACTTGCTGATTTGCCTTGCTTAGAAATGTATTGGTTTAATTAATTATGTTAATTGAGATTACTTAAATTATGAACTAATCACACTTAATGCAGGATAATTTTTATTAGTCTTATGGATGCATTGTGTAGGCAACAAAGGCTGCTAAATTAAATCAAGTAATAATTTATTTCCTCACACTTTCTACTGACCAAAAAACTTCCACCGAGGGGTGTAATAGAGTTGAGTCGAGCTCGATTCACAGTAAACTCAACCTCGAATAGGTTGTCAAAAGTGCAGCTCAAACTCGAGCTTGGGTCGAGCCCATATAATGAGCTCAAACTCCATTCATTTGCTTATTTCCAAGCTCAAGAGGTCGACTTGTCCGCTCGAGAGCATGATGATGGAAGCTCCCATCAAAGAAAGTGGAGTGACTCTATCTGCAGGGGAAAATATTATGTATGGTAGACATGAGACCGATGACGTGGATCTGCAATTCACATCGTCATCCATACATCAGGACGAGCATCCATGGGAGGGAAAGAAGATGATGACTTTTTGCGAATTGTGGAAAGTGTAAGGAAATAAATTATTACTTTATTTAATGTATCAGCCTTCACAGCCTGCACAATGCATCCTTTTTACTTTTCATAATAGTTTCTGGAGTTCTCTGTTATTTAATAAACTTAAATATTTAATATTATAAATATTTAACTTAATTGAGTTGGCTCACGAGCCAATATTAAATTCGAACTCAACTCATTCAATTATGAGCTTGAGTTTGAGCCGGAGCTCGAACTCATGGCTCGATTTGCTCTGCTCGCAAGCCCGTCGGCAAGTCAAATTCAAATTCCAACCATGAACATGTGTTGCCCCATCTAATGTTGATATCATAATAACAAAGCTAGCGATTTTCTAATGCATCTTACAATCTCCTCTTAAGAGAAAAATCCTACCATTCTGTAGGCCACATAATCCACCCAAATCATTACTCAGCAAACACAGGAGAAGGATAAGATAGTTCGAGTAAATCAGTTGGGACAATTACATACAAGGAACCCGAAATATTACTATTTACAAATCAAGCACCCTCTTTCATCCCAAATATAAAATTCATGATAAAACCCCAGCCTATGTTTTTCTTTTTTATAAAACTCTCAATGGTTTGATCATTGCACGTGCAAATGCATTAGTTCGGTAGTTCAAAAAAATCACCTGGTTGCTTGATTTGTAAATATCAATATTTCGGGTGCTCTATAGAAAAACGGTGAAGGCCTTGCCGAATCATGTTCATGTATATTGGTGCAAGTACCCAATGCATAAGATTTGCCAAACAAGAATCATATACAATATTCGGGGGTTTACTGTATGTATTTGTATAAAAAAGATGCCAACGCAATGTAGTGCTTGTTCTACCCAACAGTAAGGCAAAAATGTATGCTCAAGAGTATCATTTAGATTGGTTCTTATCATCTCACCTTATGAGTCTCATTAAAGTTGTATCATAAACATAAAACAAATCTCATGGTAGATAGCATACTTACATGATGGCAAATATGTACGATTAAGTGTCGTGTGCATTAGTTTCTGATTATTTCAACTATCTTCTTAGAGTTGGGTCAACAAATTAAAATAAAACTCAGAAAGCATATATGGCAAAATCACAGACTAAAATGATGCTTCAAATAAACATATAAAATCCATGCCAAACTATAGTTCGATGTCACGTCCATTCCAATTATGACAAAATCAATATTCGAACATATTTATGCTCTCTAAGCTCATGGTAAATTCTTTTGCGATGCAAATTATGCATGAACTACACGGATCATACATCGTGCCATAGTCATCGTTCTTACTCAATTTCACCATAAACAACATCCTATTACAAAATCACAGTTTTTGTTGTATGATAGATAAATTTCATTTTAAACATAGCAAAGGATTATGTTTCAACATTTAAAGCATTGCTAAAGTTAAAACTGTGCAAAAAACAAAAAACACAATAATACCATACCAAATAATATGCAAGTTTGTTAAACAGATACAGGACTAAAATTTGGAGAAGACTTTCTAAAAGAAAATTCATAGTCAAACATGTACTTAATTTGGTTACTAGCTGTAGTAGCTCTGCTGATATAATGTAAATAGAGGTAAGATGATATAAAAATGAAGTTACATCTCTTCTTATGAATTTACTGAAGGACAAAAATTATTAATAGCATTTTACATTAACAATTATTTTCTATCTTCAAAGAGAAAAATACAGGCATCAGCCTGGGGTAGAAAGAAATACCTGGAAGATCAGTCCGTGGAAATCACCTTTACATTCCAACTTTATTGATTTTCTAAAGGAGATAACCAAAAAAAATACTCAATGTTTGACTTTATCTAGAAGTAAACTACTGTGTAAAATAATAAAATGACCAACTGCATCGGTTACTTTATCGTCATTATCTTCTTCGTTCTCTATAGTCAGACATGTCAATTTTAATCTCTATACTTTGCATTTAATCAAGGGAAAGGCTTTTCTTCATTGATTCATAAACAACATAAGTGATGCTTGCTGAAGGAACCACTTTGAGTAAATTTGGAAGCAATCCTTTGTAGAATCCAGAAAACCCTTCATGCTGGAGGGTTCTCCAGAATACATCTGACATTCCTTTATATGCATTGGCTGAATCAGCACGTTGAGCTTGCATTCTGCAAGTGATAAGACTAGCTGTCATGCCAAGCCCTATGACTAAACCAGGAAGGTATCAACAAAAAGATAGATAACTCGAACATGCAAATATGAATCAAATGTGATGCACGAATTACCTTGTTCTAATAACCTGTAACGGATAAACACATGTTGCTCCCAAAGCTCCAGATACGGTTCCGCAGCCCAATTGCACAAGAGGACCAGGCTCTACATCAAAATATTTCAGAAAATGATTATAGAACACAACATGCAAAGCGACCACCAACCATCTCCCCAGGTGGTATTATCCCCAACATTAATGATAAAGTCAGCAGTTCAAAACTTCTCAAAGATATAAAAATATCATAGCAAGAAATGAAAAACAATAAGCAAGAAATATAAGTATAACTAGATAAAAGCCACTTACCATCTTTAAGAATATATGTTCTAGACATATCTTTTAGGGTCTCATAGGCCGCAAGATCTATTCCAGCATAAGGGACCATCCCCAAAAGAGAAGGGATTAGACCTCTGTAGAAGGCACGGGGTCCTTCTTGAGCCCATATATTTCTTGACAGTGTACTCAGCTTCGGAACCTTTCCTCCATCACAAGCATAAGTCTGCAATCGTGTCTTCACAAGATCCAAAGGATAAATAGCAGTCTGTGCAACTGCACCGGCAAGGCCACCAGCAATTAGGCGTCCGGTAGCACCTATGTCTTTCTTTTCTTCTCCTTCGGCAGTTCCAATCAACTCTTTTAGTTTTTCATAGGCATAAAATCTAATTGCACTCTCAGGTGCAACCTTAATCACATTTAACCCATTCCCTCTAAAAAAACCCAGGAATCGTCCATTTCTCCATATGTCCTTTATTGCAGGAATAATTTGAGCACACTTAGTTTGCACTTGCATTAGTACTTTGAGACGGTCAAGAGGAGCGGTAGCTGTGCGAGAAGCAGCTCCAGCAACTCCACCAGCAATCAAATATTTACTTGCATTTACATGCTTACTGACCCCTTCTGGAATAACAGTCTGTTCACCAATATCCACTAGGCAAACTCTTTCCAAATAATGGTAGATGTTCTCAATGGTCGCCTCATGTGGGTAAAGCAGAAGAAAGTCCCTCCACTCTTCAAAAGTTATGAGTCCATTATTATCCTTATCAACATGCTCTACAAAGCGGACTAGCTCCTCATCATCAATCTCAATTCCTGTAAAGATGAACCAGTATGATCTATAAGATAAAGTCCATCTATCACAAAGGACATTAACTTCACGTAGGCAATTACATCTTAAAAAGTTTTTATAAGCTCTCTTTCTTTCTAAAACAAAAAAAGGACTTTGTTTTTACAAATTTTGAAATATAGGATTAGAACTAGATTTAGAGGTTACACCAAATTATGAGCAATTGATGCTTCATTTTGAAAAAAAAAATATCTTTAAATTGTTTCAGAAAAACAATCTGTTTGAAGTCTTGAATATTTCAGACAAATTTGACCTTTAAAGTGAGTACATATTTGCATATGTTACTCATAATTATCACAAGCTGTTTGTTTTCTACCTATTGCTTGAAGTTAACTCATGTTATTAGAAGTTGATGAAAAGCTGTTTAGTGTTATAAAATAAAGTACAGTTTTATATTACGCAAGCCATCATGGTCTGGTGCTTGAGAGATTCATCTTTCAACCAAAAGGACCTAGGTTCAAGGACTTGCATATGCAGTGCGCGCGCGTTTGCATGTGTGTGGTAAGAAAAAAAAATTGAAGCTTTATAAAACAACATACTAAAAACCTTAAAACAATTCAATGGCTATAATACTCAACGTTTTCTAGCTGACTAGAAAACGTTAGAAAAAGTACAAATACATAATACCTAATCATACCAATCTAACTTTTACCACCAAGAAACATTAAATCTAAAACTAGAGTAAGAACTAAGAGGTTTAGGTTTCTGGTTTTTTTTTATGAAAACCTTAAGAGTTTTATGCTTTAGATAGATTATCCTAGTTGATAAGTATAGAGTTTGGGTTATATAAATTTTAAGAAACAAGGTAGATGTGCTGCTCAAAGGAATTCCTTAAAGCTTGATTGATAGAGGAAGTGTACCTAAAGTCATAGCATGGTAGGGGTGAGGTCGTTGCTCCCATTTAGGGGGGAGAGAGAATACAGTAACACTTCTAGGGTTTTTAGGTACAGGAATCCCTTTTAGGTAAAGGAATAGGGAGGCAACAACTTTGTATCTCTCTAAAATAATTAAGAAGATCTAAGACAATCATAAAAAAGTTTATCTTCTAGACAAGAAATTAAGTCATAACAAGGCGGTCATTCCCAAATCCATCTTTAATCAACAAAGAGGCAGCCTATCTTCACTGTTTCAAATTTAATTAGTCATATAAGTGCATCATGTTGCTCAATTTTAGGTAATGTATAATGAATAATGATATACTAGACCTAAGGAGGTCTAGCCGACCATAATGGAGCATCATAGCCATGGATTAACCCTGATATAAATCAAAATTTGAGAAGAGAGATGTCCTCTAGATAGTACATTCACTTACTAGCCAATGAGCTCTTCTTCATTAAAACTGGTCTATGATGCACCTTGTCATTGTGATCTTCTTCCTACTGATGCAAAATTCTATATAAGTTCTTCACGTGGCATGTGGGTTTCCTAAATAGTAATGTAGCATCACCTTTTCCCCTTCATCAACTATTGCGGGTGCAAAAAGTGCAACATCTTAACATCAATTAAAAGTACCCTAATAGTATCACCAATCACTTGGTATAATGAAATTACATTTGATTGCTAAAGTGGAGGTCTATGGTTTGAATCCTTACACACACACACAAAATCTGTTATGAGGGAAGGATTGAGTGGAAATCAATCTCTCCAATCTTCATGGCAACATTGACGGTCCATAAGGTAATGTACTAAGCTTCATATGCTACCTTTAGCCTCAGCTTCTTTGGATGCAACCACAACATGCCAACTTCTCTGTATTGTGAACCATTAGAGTGAAAATACTTTAATTCCCTCCTTATTACAGGTGACCTCCAACAAGATTGAGATTTCCATATCAAATGTGATTTGTGATAGGTAGCAGAGTGATGAGGAGGTAGAATCACCAGGCTCAATTAAATGTAAAAGAGCTTTTGATGGCTTAATAAAGGCGAGACCGACTTTCATTAATTTGCTTGATTTGATAAAGAGAATGGAGGTAGCTTGAATTAAACACCGTCCAAATATGAGAACGAAAATAAGTTTGTCAAAAAATAAAGGGTGTGACATCTGGGATCCAATTATGGCGAATGATAGTCGAATTGAGGCTCGAAAAAGGAGCGACTCCTAGTAAGCTTCTAGAAGAAAAATGAATGGGAGGAAAGGTGGGGGTGCAGAATAAATCAAATTCCACATCAGAATGGAAGGAGGGAAGGATGTTGACCTATATAAATAAAAGGTTGGGCCAAAATATGTGATGCATGACCCTAATTCCCCTAAATCTTCTCTCTTAAAATCCACTAAACATGGGGAAAAAAATGCAAATGTTTTGTTTTCCCGGGTTCATGCAAATCAATGTCAATGCATTAATCATAGGCATCTCAGCAGCAATCTATCTAATAACAAAAGCAGGAGAATGAAGGCCAAGTAAACGTATCATGGTATTACCAGCCTTGACGAGTGCATCCCAAAGCTCCTCGGGTAAGATGCACCCATTATGCTCAACATCAATGGCTTCGAAAATACGGTAAAGTTCCAGCTCCTTATCGTCCATGTAACGCTTGAACTCCAGGTAATCCACGCGACCATCACGGTTGGCATCGCAGACCTTGAGTAGATCCCGAGCGTACTTGTAGTCAGCAGGGATATGAAGAGACGACAGGCCGGCTTCAATCAGCGCGCAGTCGAGGAAGCCGGCACTTGCAGTATCAAAGAAGTTAAAGAGACTTCGGATCCTCACCTCCCGCTCCTCCTTAGTTTCCCTGAGAGCGAGCAGTACGTGATCCATGGAAACAGGACCAGGTTTCTTCACCGGATTACATCCACCGCCATCGTTCGGGCGCCGTTGATGCTCATCTTCCGTAGCCTTTGCCTCCATCTTGTTAGCCGGGAAGGTGGCGATGCGTTGTTCTATGGCCTGTCCAGCGCCCGACATCCTTTAGAGTGGTGCCAGGCGATCTTCGGCACCAATCCGAGTTGAATCAATGAACAAAACCGAAATAATCTCTCTAAATCCTCTAAATTGATCGATGTATGAAAGACAACACTCCCTCTGTTCCCTTTATCGCCTCTTTTCTCCACGGTATTTCATAGTTGGAGCAGAAAGGGGGCACAACGGAGCAGACATGACGTGAGATGCAGAATGCTCGAAGTAGCAGGAAATTGGAAGATGAAGCGGAGGTTATCAGATTCAGCAAAAGAGGGAGAGGACGACAAACTGGAGTAACTTGGGATGCTGAGGCGACCGCACTTTCCTCTTCAACTCATACAGTAATCGAATAGGTCCATCTGCGCAATCTTTCCATGTTTGCTGGAATTCAATGAGATATCACGCTAGACCGTGGTGTGTCGATTGGGAGAGGAAGCGGAGGAAGACGATGAACTGAATGCGGAGGAGAAAACGAACGGGGCAGAAAAAAACGGGTGTTCTGGTTTACTTCTTCCTTTTCTTTTCTCTTGGATGCGCTTTTTTATTTATTTATTTATTTTTTATTTTTGGAAAGATTTACATACATACCCTTCAATTCTAATGTATTTACATATCCAATGCCCAAACTTCAACTTCTAGGTATGTATCAACTTACATTGCATGAAAATATGTATTTTACTGTTTAAAGGGGCCGCAACGAATTTAGAGTAAAATTTGGCCAGGATATATGCTATAGAGTCAGTTTGGACAATAGATCCTCCACTTTGATAAATTTAAATTTTGCTGATTTCGATCGTAAATCCTAAATTTATTAAGTTTTGTGAATCAACAGATTAGGTAAATCTGGGACAAGCGAAGATGGAGGATGGCAAGAGTAGTCTTGGCTTCCTCATTGGATTATGGTAGGAGTGGAGTAGACGGATGATAAAAATGGGATTTTCGGTGGTCTCTATAAGTCATGATCTCGTTGTTGTCTTCATAGGCAACTCTAATCACGAGAGCTCGTTCAGGAAAGTGATGGATTTGGGTGAAATCAGAAGAGGGAGAGAGACATAGGCCTAGGTTTCAGGTAGAGAGGGAAGGGACAGAGAGAGGGGGTTGGTAAGGGTTTCAAGAAGAGAGGGAAGGGGTACATTGGTTAATGGTTTTTATTTATTTTAATTTAACTAAGTTTCATTGGAGTTATTTAGAGGTGAAATGATCATAGTGTCATGCCATTAGTTTAGTGATTTCACAATATTTATCCTATGAGTTTTCTATATTCTTGTTGACAACCAGAATAAATCCTCCTTAGTCTATGCATATGTCATAAAAGGCATTGGAAGCCCCTATGAAAGTTAAGAGGGCTTAACTACGAAAGGTTTCCACGAATCGTCCAATCCTCTATCTAGGTTACACTCTCCTATCAACATTAAGTCTATTCCACTATGTGAGTGTATGTTAACCTACTATTTTTTTTCTAATTAACGGTTGGAAGTTTTAGATCATAAGAGGTTTTAACTTTCTAGTTAGTTATATCAGGAGTAAACTATGATCAAAAGGTAAAAGCATCAACATAAGGAATTCAAACGATTAAAATATGTATAGGTAAAACTCATGGATCAAAACATCGATTTAACACATTTTGTACATTATAGGAGTATGAAAGAGAATTAGCTACTATGCACAAGGAAATAAAACATAGGAATTTCTATTGAAAATATTAAGGAAAAAAATGTAAACATGCAGGAAAAAAATGTAAACATGCAGAAAAACACACATTTGAGCCAATTAGACCTTGCAATACACTGTAATCCTCTCCGTACAATGTCAACTCTCCTCGGAACTCCCTCATTTAAGTGCACACAATCTATTTCTCACAACCCACATAACTCTCAAAGCAAAAAGCCCTAGAAATCTTCCCCAAAAGAGAACTAATTGAGAAAATCCTATGACAAGAACAAGACTCCCTTGCTCCCCAATAAAGCATCGTCTAGACAACAAGAAGTGCCTACTTAATCTCTAAGATTAGCTTAAATAGTTGTTGCCCGAACATCCTCCAAAACCTTTCCAAATGAGTGCATGGTAGAGCCCTAATGCAGGTACACACAATTATAACATAGGTACATCATAGGGTAGCATAACTACGTTTAGCCCTGACGTAATTATTCCATCTTCATGGTTCTTTGTGTGTTCCTTCGCTCCTAATGACAAAAGACCTAACATAATTACGCCAGTGGATGGAGCAGGTACATCATACATTTATGTTGTACAACTTAATATTTTGACTTTCCGATGTGTGCTCAATACCTGTGATCTATAAAATATGGCAAAAAATACAAGTTGTAATTTATGAAAAAAAATATCACAAAATTGATTCACATAAATTTCCAAAACTTACCTATTATTCGCCATCAAGTAACCTTATATAAACATCGAGACTTGCTTAAATAGTTTTGTAGCTTTCATGTGGGACTATATGATTATCTAATATAATCATATAAGTTGTAATAAAAGAGGTGCAAATATCATCTCAGGGATAAAGTTTATTAATATTTTATAACGTAGTCTTTCCTAATATATTTAATTATAAGCCTAAATTGATCTCAAAACTCTTAATCTAGTATGATTGAAATATTTTTATTCTCCAAAACTATTTTTAAGTCAGTTAACTCTCAATCAAACAACACAAGATAACTTTTTTTTAATATAATATTTAAGAATTTCATAAAAAGGCTTTTAATTTTTATCAATTAGGAAAGAGTATAGACATCAATTTTTAACATTTTAAGCTCAACCTCAAGCTTCTTCTCTAAAAACAACTAAGACACATTTTTTTTTCTTTTTTACTTCTCTTTTTGAATTATTTCCTTGCACAAATTTTCTTTTCTTTTTCTTAAGCCAAAAATTATCTTTAATTTCACTCATAATTATTACATCTAGTTGAACATAATTATTTTTAAGGATTTTGAACATCAAATCTTTCCTAATTGTTCATCCTTAAAGACTCCTTAATATGAATTACAAAATATTAAGTTTTATTCAAAATTTAAAATCAATTAAATTGTTTGAGCTCAAAAGTTAAATTCTTAATTATCCTTGATTAATTACATCTATTTAAATTATACCCTTTTAATTATTCTAAGACTTTTCAGGATTCAGATAAAAGTTATTAAAGTGAAGGACTCGGTTATTAGGAAATCAATTTTAATCTCTCATTTAATTAATATTTACATTTTTAATAGAGTTATTATATACCATAGTTAAATCACCAGGATTCCCATCAAGAGTCACCACTCTAAAGTATAGTCGACGACTCAAATATGTGATCCACTTCTTAGGCAAGTACACATGTCTAGCTCCCTCCCCTAAATTTGTTCTCTATCCTACTCATGTTAAGTGAAAGGTGGTGCAAGAAGAAAAAAGAGCATATCATGTAACAGCTTAGAATCTCATACCAAATAAAATATAACATTGATAGTGCTAGTAACACATTACACATGAAGCATATCACAACAAAATCCACCACATGAGACTATATAGAGTGTGTCACAACATCTCATAAAGAGTCAAGAGTATGAAACAACAGAACATAACATGTACATCTCCACAACATCAAAGTCCACCCACAACATTCCAAATCCACAACATCAAAGTCCACCACCAGCAATCCAAATACTTCAAATCCACGCGTAGTCACAACCATACCATACATGAACATCTTCCACAAGATTGGCCACATGATTGTTATTTCTTAGATGGTTGTTTAGAACACTTACGTTTTAAGTAGCACTCCTTATGTTGACATAAGCTCATACTCCTTGCTTTTTAAATTAGATAAGTCCGATGCTGGTTCATGTTAGGCGTATGATTTGAACTCTAATTTCACGTTCAACTTATCATTCCTATTTTTTTAGATTTATAGTACATAAGCTCATACTCCTTGCTTTTTAAATTAGATAAAATTAGGTTGCAAACAAGCCAAATTTAAGTGAGTCCGATGTTGGTTCATGTTAGGCTTATGATTTGAACTCTAATTTCATGTTCAACTTATCATTCCTACTTTTTTTGATTTATAGCGGATTCTTAATAAAAATTTCTTGAATTTCCCAATGTGGGACAAAACAAAGAGGAGGTCAAACAACAAAGAGGAGGACCATGAACTTACATAAATGCCACCAAATTCTTAGGTATTTACATAAGCTACACTCATGTAGCGGTGGGCGTGGGCTGTGGGTGTGTAGTGGAACTTTTGGCAAGATTTTATGATGTATTTACATTGAGACCACCCAATTCTTATGTATTTATATTTATATCTTCTAAAATTTATTATTATTTTTAAATATGAGTGGAAATATTTACAGGCATAGAACCCAATTTTTATGTATTTATATTTCTAAAATCTAAATATTATTTTTATATTTATGTCAAATATATCATTAATTTACTTTTTTATTTTATTTATTTATTTCGAGCTAAAAGGCTAAGTTCTTGTTCGTGTTTGGCTCGTTTATAAATCGTGCAAATAAAATTTGTTCGTTTTCAACTTGCTTTATTGATGAATGAATAGAACACGAGTTGCTCGCGAACAAGTTTTTCTGACAGCCTTATATACAATCATAGGATTCTAGTGCAATCTCTCTCTACAGCTTAGAATATATGAAATTCTCTCGAACGATGAAATTTACGTATCGTTGACAAAATATTTCAATCAACATTAAGTTGACTATCATTATATTTATACCGCCTAAATCTTTCATATCACATCAAAAATGCCATCAATACAATTTTGAAAAAATAAAATACAACTTTTCATTAATAGATAGAGTGGTATGTATATAAAAACCAAAATTTAAGTGTTTCATATGTAAATACACAACATTTGAGCTATATGTATGTAAATTTTCCTAAATTTCATTACAGTGAGACTGCCGATCATTGTATTTTGATATATTTCAATGCATAACATTCAAATCTTTTAACATGATATCAAAAATACCATCATTAAATACTCATTTTCGTTCAAAATTTCATGGCGCCCAACTCACGCTGTCAAAACGACTCGTTGTTCGCTAACAGCTCGTGTTCGACTCGTTCGTTAAGTTAAAGAGCTGAACAGGAACAAAACGAACAAATATTTATTCATTCATGTTCGGCTCGAAATACTATTAATCAATTATATATATATATATTTGATGAGTAGTATTTTTAAAAAAATTAATGGACTACAAGGCTACAAAGATTTATAATCAATTAAAAGTATTAATTAAGAAAATAGAATAAAAAATATTAAATTAGATTCAAATGATGTTTTAAATTTTGCCCCAAACTTATGACTATGTGATTAGGGTTGTCAAAACGACTTTTGGTTCGTGAACGGCTCGTGTTCGGCTCGCTGAGCTCGCTCGTGTTCAGCTCGTTTACACCCTTACGCCCAAGTGAGGTATAAGTGCAAATATCAAACATAAGTGTTAGTTGCATAAAAACGCAATAATTAGGGGGCATGTATGTAAATTTTCCAATATAATGATAATGCATTGCCACTTCAGAGAAAATTAGAACCTGCAATTGCAACCCAATAGCAGAATAGCAGAAGCAGCACATGCATTCAAGCAGATGATGTAAAATCAAACAAGCAAGTCATTATTAGAATGTTCATATAGTTCTCATGGTATCATCAAAACATCAACATGTGCTCACAGATCACAGTACTTATTTCGAGGTTTTACCATATCTACTAGCACAAAAGAACAGGGACAACCCACAGGAACATGGATGAGAGTGTTTTTAAGTGGTGAGGATTGGGGGAAGGTAGTCCGCCCTGGTGCCGAGGATACGGGCTTTCGTGTCTGGAAAGAACTCGGTCCCCGGCAGCTCCGTGACCTCGCCGTCACCGCTGACGCCAACTGGGTAGCTGAGGAGATGGCCCGGAAGGTCTCTTTCAAGCGTCTCGCTGGAGTACAAATCCCAGTATTTTTCTGCAATCCTGTTCACCTTCTGCACGCACTCCACACTCTCGGGATGTTGGAAGACATCGTCGAGCATGCCTAGGTGCTCATACCAAAGAGACATCCGGAAGCCATGGATTTGGCCTCTGGCTGGTTCCCGTGCCGCCAGATAGTTGGGCTGGTACGCACCCATGGCAATCTCGGAGTCCCGCGCTCCATCCATTGATCTCTGATTGATGTTTGCAGATCCAATGATTATATACTCGTCGTCAACTGCCATGTGAAGGTCATATAACAAGAAGAAGATCAAATCCTTACTTTTTTGTCTGAGTCTCAAGACTAACACATATAACAAGAAGAAGATCAAATCCTTACTTTTTTTGTCTGAGTCTCAAGATTAACAAGAAATCAAAAAAAAAAAAAGACTGATATTGCAAAACTCGTCAAACAAGCTGTTTACTCTGCCCATGATAAAGAAAAAACAAAAGCTCTTTCTTTCTTATCATAATAAAAAAGTAACAGGTCATTACCTATCATCATCTTGGCGTGAACATAAATCATAAACCGCCTGGCCTGCTGCGCTCGATGATAATCAGTGTCAGGCTGAGGCTGCTCCTCAGGAGTGTATTCGCCGCTCTTCTGCACCTCTCGATTCCCCAAGCAAAAGAATGTCAGATAGTCTTTGGGGTTTGCTACAATTCCTTTAGCCTGAAGGGCCAGTGTGACATCAGTATACATCATTTCCATGGTTCTCCTTTGCCAATCCAGAATTGCCTGAACAGAAGCACTTTCAGGAACACCTTCTGGCCACATAGGAACAACAACATAAACCGTAAACCGTTCCCCAGCTTCAATCTTACTAACAATCTTTAGTGAAAGCTCCTTAGGAATAAGATGTAAAGCACCAATTTCCTCCGGTTTGATACCATCTGGTTTCCATCCAAAACAGCTGCCAAGAAAATATTGATTTTCGATATAGATAAAATCCTTTGCTCGGCGGATTGCATGTATGTAGGCATCTTGGATGCTTCTATCAATAATGTTATCCTTTCCACTGATAAGGCCTGCTCTAGCAGCATCCTCTGGTGTCTCAGGGAAGCCAAAGGCAGCACCCCCATCAATGGATCGGAAGGAGCGGAAGAGCTGCACATTCCATATTTCTTTATCCTCCGAAAACATGACAGGAGATGGTGGAATGATAACATCAGAGAGATCTCTAAGCTGTAGAAGAAGATCCTTTCCACCCTGCTTCCTCCATCTCTGCTCAAAGTTAAACAATACATCCCAGGCAATGGGACCCTCCAGGCGCGAGTGAATATCATGCCAAGGTTCTCTTGGTCCGCCTTTCTTGATGGATCCATCCGCAAAGTTTGGCTGATGGAAATCATCATGGTGAGCTGTGTCAAGGGTTCTAAACAGTGAATGGAACTGTGTGTCATATCTTCCATCACAAAGGTCAATTCCCCCGACATAACTTACAATCCTCCTTTGTTCAGAACCCTTAACAGGCATCTCATGATCCACAACCACAATCTTCTGATGATGAGTGAACATGGTTGAGATTTCCAAATCCTGCACGATGCTTCCTCCATCGTCAGGATTTCGGGGGCACAAGACACAGTGTACATCAGTGCCATGAAAATAATTTGCAGTTTCTTCATCATGTGTAGCCATCAGACCATCTTTCTTTAGCAAACTAACTGAGGTACGATCATCCCAAACAAGCATAAGGACCCTGACTCCTTCACTAGCCTTCCTCTTTAGCAACTCCCCAAGAGTAGCATCTCCTCCAGGCTTCTGCCTCTTGGAGTCCCTAACCAGAGTGATCTCCGTATAGACAGACCACCCAGTAATATAAATCAAATGCTTTGCATTACTGATTGCATCAAAGATGTCCTCCCAACATCGATGGGGCTCATAGTACTTCCCATTTGCAAGAGGAATTTTTGGAACAAAGTTGTCAGGGACATGAGCATCTTGGTACAGTGTTACCTTGCACCCATGCCGTTGTGCAAAGAAAGTATAGGGAACACCAGGGTACTTTGGGCTACGTATGCCTTTTAACCAGTTCCGGTCTTTTGAGACATCAAAATACTGCAGCTTTACATGGATCTTAGCGCCGCCAGAGACAGGATTGCGGCTTTCATCACATATTTCAAGCCAACTGTCGACTTCCTCGCCATGAAGTATATTCTCAACAGGCAAATATGCTCTTCCAACAAGTGAAGCACCGATCGCATTGTCAAACTTGACAGTGAAGATGACATTGGATGCGGGATGAGCACAATAAATGTGAAAAGACTCATACCAACGAGGGTTAACGGGTTCATCCGAAATGATTCGTGTCCTACCAACTCTTGCTTTCTCCAGATCAATAGTAGCATAAAGTCTGGTAGATCCCTTGCCAAGGCCCACAGTCTCCTCTATTCCTTCAACTAGCTAAACAAAAAGAAATACATATACATAGAAGACGGAATAGAAAAAATAAAAAATAATAAAAAATAAATAAATAAAAGGAAGAAAAAACAAATACAAGCAGATAAATCACATTGCACGTTAAAAGGTAAAGAAAGGAATTAGATCAGTGCCATCTATATGAAGAAAACCGTTCATCAAAAGTATATGATTACCTTTTGTCTATGGCTAGCTAGTAGCCACTTAAGAAACAAATTAATCATAGGCTTAAAAGAGCTTAATATAATAAAAGCAGGTTGTAATTTATATAACCAGAGTTGTCGAAAGTTCATGATAACATGGAAGCATGACAGGTAAAGATGTACAATCTTATTTAACTAGAGAGTAACCGCTGAAAAAGCAATTGTGGTTAAAACTTCCATTTTGAACTAGAATAAAAAAATCACTACAATAAAGCATACAATATTGAAGGCATTCACAGTTCCGATTGACCAAGAGAACCATGTCAACTAATGCAATTAAGCAACCACAACACACACCAAAAAAAAAAAAAAGAATACATAAACAGTGAAAAACATCATTGAACAAATGGCAATGTGCTCGAAGGCGGTACATATATGAAATAGAAACCCATTAAATAGGATAGTATTAAAAACCAAAAAGAACTATCTGATAATTTTGAATAAGAGAACCATGTCAACTAATGCTTTTAAGAAACCACAAAAGAAAAAGGCATAAACAGTAAAAAATCTCATCGAACAAATGGCAATGTGCTCTAAGGCAGTACATATATGAAATAGATAACCATTAAATAGGATAGTATTAAATACCAAAAAGAACTATCTGACAAATATCTGAAAAAAAAAGAATCAGGAAAATTGCTACTTCGGTCAATTCTATATTGTCATTAGGGGTTTGCCTTCTACAAGCATATGTAGAAGGCAAACCCCTAATGACAATATAATCCATACATAAACAAAAAATCTCTGAGATATTGACCGAATGCATACATTATAGTATTACAATGACATGATAATAATCTTTGGTTACCGTTAAATTAGGTTGGCTCAGAGAACGTAGCTATACTCAATTCTTAAAACGGAAATATAAAGAGAATTTATACTCGTATCATATTGAGAAAAAGTGCCTTCTGATATTTTGATGCTTGACTAAGGGAACAAAATGTCCCAAGTTAGTATATTAATAACAGAGTTACAAGTTTGTCATAAAAAGTAAAGAGAGTGCAGCCACTTCTGCTACCGAGTATTTTTAATATCAAAAAGCAATGTTTTCTGATTGTAACTTTTAACGATGGCATAATTTTGCCAGTCATCTGTGGCCTAAAATAATGATAACTGAGAAAAAAACATCATAGATAGTGTTTAACTTTCTACAGTAATGCGGGCATGTGCTAATGTGGCAACCGGCCGATTTGAACTACAGGATAGGCAAAACAATTACGCTGATACACCACAAGAAATATAAAAACTAAAGCTATGTCACGGAAACATTTTAGTAGTTTAGCATAATATATTTTCTAGGCAGAGTAGCACGAGTCTCCTCAATTTGGCATGGGACAATCATTAATGCTAATGAACATCATATCAAAGGCAACAATTATATGTTTTGTGAGTTCAATTTTAAACCAAACAAAAAATACAATGCATCCTTGCCATCTAAATTCTGACATTTAAAAAGAAGAATGGGAACTATCATTCTGCCAGGATTAGCAGATATATTGATTTAAGAAAACCAAATAAAAGCTTGGAAATAAAAAGTAAATTAAAGATAAAAATGAACGAGCATTCATGAATAATACAACAATTTGATATGACTCAAAAAAGAACAGAATAGCATCTACATGACTAATCATTTAATACATTCATTTATATTTGAAAGATATCGTTTACTAAAATATATGGTATATTTTTTGCTTGCAAGCATAAACTGAATGCACAGAAATGAGAGATATACAACAATCATGGTGTGCTTATATGCAAACAACAACCGCTTTGAGCTTGAATGTAATTGAGCACAACTAGAAGGAGAAATGAATTTAATATAGAATAGTATTTTTTTATTATCCAAAAAATTTTAGGGATAATTACATACATAACACCGAAAATCTATGTATTTATAGAACTAGCACCCATATTAACTTTTTCAACAATTACACCAATGTATTTATGAGTACCATGATCAACCAATGAGAATTTGAAAAATGGATGCTAATTTTGCAAATTCCATTCAAATAGCTATGTTTCGAGCGCCATGAATGTAATTGCCTAAAAATTTTAATCGTAAATCTCAGAAACCTTGATCTGATTCAATAGGTTCACAATTTATTTAAAAGTGTACTTCCATAAAATAATGCTACTGCATAATGACAAAGTTTGGGATGATGAATTTTGGGGTAGGAGAAATTACATAATAGCCATAATTTACAAAACAAAATATAAAAGATTATTATATCAAGCTCTTATTGGCACACTTATCGAACAAGATGCAAGATTTTGCACGAGAATAAAATAAAAAATGAAACTTGAGCATGATTATTTACATATTGGGGTTCATATTTTAAGTTTCGGTCTGCTAATACATACAGGTGTGAAAGGTCTAACGTTGAGAGTCCATATTGAACTCCAAAAGCATTATATCAAGCTCTTATTGGCACACTTATCGAACAAGATGCAAGATTTTGCACGAGAATAAAATAAAAAATGAAACTTGAGCATGATTATTTACATATTGGGGTTCATATTTTAAGTTTCGGTCTGCTAATACATACAGGTGTGAAAGGTCTAACGTTGAGAGTCCATATTGAACTACAAAAGCATTATATCAAGCTCTTATTGACATACTATTTGAATACCAAATGTAGATGTTAGCATAAATAAAAAATGAAACTTGAGTTTGATCAGTTGTATTTTAAGCTTCATATATCAAGTTCAAGTTTAATAATAGATGCAGGAGTAAAAGAATGAATATTGAGAGTGTGTGTTGAGCTATTAAAGCATTATATCAGGCTTCTATAAAAAACTAAAAATGGTATGCATCTGCTGTAAAAGAGCTAGTATTGAGCTATTGAAGTGCATTGATTGACCAAAACTCTTATTTGGAGGTTTGTGCAAACAAATTTCTCTGTTAAAAAGGTATTTTTTTTTCAGGTATTGTTTAGCATCTTCCTATATGCTCACTACCAACCACCTAGTTTAGAATTTAGAATTTAGGGTTTAGGGTTTAGGGTTTAAGGTTTAGGGCTCTTTGACATTAATTTTGATATTTAAAATTAGGTCTAAGTTTCCAACGCTTTATAAATTATAGGAAGAAAAAAAAAAGGAAATCCTTTCGTATCTTCAAAGATCTGGGTACCTTGCGAAGAAACCTGGGAGCACTGGCAGAAGCCCTGGTGGATAGTGAATCGGCCTCAAAGATAGTAACATGAAGCGTTCCATGAAGCAAAATCTGTGCCATACCTCAGACTTCAAATTCCCTACTGATCCCAGAGGCGATGATCTAAGATCCATAGACAAGAACCCCAACGGCAGTCAGATCACGAATTTGAAGACAGCAAGATGTAAGCCGCGAACGAAGAACCACATGCAAGTTCCATTAAATACAAAAAAAACAGCTCGAAACAAAGAAAGGTCAGCCAGATAGAAAGCAAGACATTACCAGAAGCGAACCAGAAAGCTTCTTCCACCAAACCACTCATAATAAATCATAGAATTCAAACTTCAAAATATATATAAGACCAGAAATCCATCGAAAAAATCATAAAGAAACAATACATACTGAACTTACGGCAATTGAAATGTGACGATCCGCAGGTCGGAGGAGTCGAAGAGACAGGATCCAACCGATCAAGGTGAAGAACAAGAGCAATGATAATCAGGAGAACCCTAGGACAAAGGGAGGAAGTGAGAGCAAGAAGATCTGCAAGAAAATGGACGGGAGGATTAGGAAAGAAGAAGATCTGACTTCGTCGACATCAATCAGCTTCTCGCCTTTGACAGAAACAGCATGAGATTCATGCCCTAATTTTATATAATAATAATAGTATTGGAAGGACGATAAATTCACCCATTACGTGACACCTACTTCTCCGATGTCGGCCAGAGGTGGAAGTGAGTTACGCTGGCTCATGAGCTGATTTGTATGTCTGTATGTATATATATATGACTTCTCCGATGTCGGCCAGAGGTGGAAGTGAGTTAAGCTGGCTCATGAGCTGATTTGTATGTATGTATGTATATATAAAGAGAACTAGTACCGTTGGAAAAAATATTACTTCAGGAGTATTGATGCATCAGTACTCCAATTTGCATCAGTACTCCAATGAGGAGGTGTCACATATGCAATGATCCCACCATAATGTCACGTGACACCTCACATTAGAGTACTGATGCATCAGTACTCCTGAGATAATATTTTTTCATACTCATGAGCTGATATGTATGTATGTATGTATGTATATACGAAAAGTTATTTGTATGAAATTTCTTTTGAATTTTATACCAAAAGTTATTTGTATGATACAAAACCTAGAAGAAATTAGAAGGAGCAATGAACAATTTCTCATGATGTCACATTTATTAAGAAGATAATGTGAAAAAGGGACATTCAAAGAAAAGATGATCATGACTCTTTATACTATCAATACAAAGAACACTAATATTATGAATATTTGTACCATGAAGTTTAAGATTATCACAAGTCTTAAGACATCTATGAATAATTTTCCAAGCAAAGAAAGCATAGTTAATAGCATAACCTTTGACTCATATAAGATTAAACCAATCCATATTAGGAAAAAAACTTCAAATAAGTAAAAATAAACAAGTTTATGAGAACATATGTTTTCATTCTTCCAAAGACAAGAAGCCTTGAGAAATAGGAATATTGCTTAAATCATTGATGAAGATTGTAGGAGCATCAATAAAAAAATTATAATTCCAACAGTTATTTCTTAAAACATCACATATTTTAGTATTATAAAGAAACTTCACAACAATTAAAGATAATGTCTTCAAAGTTTTCTTTCAAAGATAACCCATTAAATCATGAATTAAAAAAATAATATATGAATATTCAAAGTGATTTCAATGGTTAATGAGAGCCTAATTCTCTTGGCCACCTTAATAAGATCATTCTAGAAAGGAGGAACTTTAGAAACAGAAGTCTTCCATATAGAACCATAATGATTAAAACACGAATTAGAAAGAATATAATGAAAATTATAATATTTTCAAATAATTTTGGTCTTACACGTGATATTAATTGTATCCAAAGACGGAAGACCAATATCACCATAGTGTTTAGGTCAAACAAATTTAGTCCAAACAATAATATGAAGATTATCACCATCCTTATTATTTTGAATAAAATTAGAAATCAAAGAAATGATTTTGTTTCTTAAACCCTTCAGGAATAATAGTCAAATAAAACCATTAGTACAAATAACTCTAGACCTTGAATTTAATAAGCTGGGGCTTGCCAGCATAAGTTTTTTTTTTTCTTCCAACTAGCCAACCAATTGTTTACTTTATCAGTAAGAATATGAGAATAGGAAATTAAACGTTTGGAAGGTTTTATACATATTAATACCCAGATAATTTCAAGAGAAATGATTTATAGTAAAAGCACATATTTAGTGGGGGCCCACAGATAAGTTTTTTTATTTTTTTGCCTATTTTCTCTTTTTTGCTCCTTATGTGTACATGTGGCCCATATATGATTACATGAAAGAAAATGGATATTGAAGTAAAAGTTCATAATACTTCCAACAACGAGGCTTATTTTGGGGTGTGTAGAGTCATAATGCCTTGGCAAGCTAAGTTGATGAGTCAACAAAATGTCAGATTAACTGGGGGCAAATAGGCCGTGAACAAAGCCCATACTAGTTAGATGACGAATTCATAGTCTCATCTTTGAGTGAATTTTTCGAGGATCAATGTCACTTTGTCCCATGTCAAAGACAGGATCTATGTTGTATATTGAAAGAGTTATTGATCTTGCCTTCGCTGTTTCCCGGAAATGATTGATTTGAGAGAAATTGACAAACGCCATGCCCACCGAGTGGCCAATGCACTAATAATAATTGGACTCTAGAATTTATTTGATCTAAATCATCTTGTGAAATGGTTTCACGAGTTATGGGGCCTGGGCCAACATGCAATGAATTTGCCTCACAAATTACCTTTTCGTGTTAACAACCGTTTGTATGTACACTAATGAATAAGATATACAAATTGTCATAGATACATACATAGAGGACATGTGTAGAGCACCACATGTAAGAGATGTTAACTTCATAGGCTGATTAATAATTATACAGTGTTATTATATTATATCTTACATGTTTCAAAGGGTCTCAAGCACCCCATGTTAGAAATTAGAAATTTTATGACTTTTTTTTTTTTTATTTCCAAAACTTAAATGGCCTTATAATCACATATACAACAACAATAAGCCTGTTATCCCTCTAAGTGGGGGTCGCTACATGAATCCTTTTTCTCCATTGCATTCTAAAAATAAAAAAAAAATCAAAATTTGATTTTAAAAGTGAATCAAAATTCAGGGCAAGTTTTGGGCAACTTATAAGTGCGACGGCGTTTTCAAAAACGCCGCTTAACCGTTTTGTTTGCATATTTTTGAACATGCTGTCTGTTGCGTTTGAGTTTTTTACACTAAACGCAGACC